AATCGAACCCTAAACCATCTGAGTGAGGGTGCAATATAATTGAATAAATTTTCTCTCACATTTTTTATATACCTATTAAAAAATGTTAGTGTTATATACTGAAAGCTTGACTTTGCATGTTATTACACATTTACCCTTTATGAATGAGAATCATGTTAGATTAAACAAGTTCTACGTTCTGTTGTTCTGCACTTAGATAGGGTGGGTCGTCATCGGGCGAACCGAAGATCACTCTATCAGTCACTTGCGAACAAGAATAGTTGTTCACAACCTAGATGGACATGAACACCCCATCCGAACGGTTGTAGTGTCAACTGTACAGTTTGTCTTGACTGATTAGTTGCACTAGTACATTTATGTATTGAACAGGATCCCAGAGAGGAGAAGTTCATTTTATACTGATCGTCGTAAATGAACTAGGCCTCGGTTAATTACTGCGTTCTCTTAACCCGTAAGATATTAAACAGGCAGATATATATAATATATATTACTTTGATTCACATGGGTGAGGTTCAGTTCGCTGGATTAATATTCCTACTGTTTTGGGTAATATTATTATATATAGGATGTGCTGTTAGGATATTTACGGTCACCATGTGCGTTAGTTTGATGATGTCCCCGGAGTGAGTTCATGAAGGATTGTTATGCTAAACCCTGCAGGTGGATTAAATTCCGGCATAATAAGAATGTGATGAACGAGCGCTAGCTTCGGTGAAATAATAATAAATTAATTAATTCTTGATTGTCAGTAATCGAATTAATTAATGGACATTATATCTTAAACGTGGGGAGGTAAATCGAGTAATTATTATTGGAGTCTCAAATGTAATTTGGGCTAGGGAAAGGGAGTGCAATAATATAATGTTGGTGGCCCATTAATATTATTTAATTAATTAGAGGAGTGGGTTTGGCCCACAGTTAGTCTAATTAATTAAGGAGCCCTTTTCCTAATCTCCTTAGGGTCCCTACTGTAGCTCTATATATACATCATTAAGCTCATGAGAAGAGAATAGAAGTCTCATTCTCACGTGAAACCATCTCTCTCTCTAGATCTCATTCGAGCTTTATCTTCTTCTTGTTGCTCCACTGGTACAAGTTGAAGAAGGGTGTATTGAGTAATACAGTAGAAGATCTGTAGGTAAACCGAGACGAAATTGATTTTGACCTACAGAACTAACCGGAAGTCCGATTGAGACGTACAGTATACCCAGACGACCGTCTCGACGAGAGCTTTCCATCGCCGCCGAGATCGCCGGAATCCGATGCCGCACGCGCCCTCACGCGCCGCCGGAAGTTGTCTGGCAGCAAAATTTCGTTTTGATCTGTTTGCATCCGTTTGATCCAGTTTTAATCTGATCTTGTTCGTGCAACCCAAGACGCGTGTTGCGGTCAATCAATTGCGGTCAACCGTTCGTGGTCAACCAGATCTACATAAATTTTAAGCCGTAAGTTCTATACGTCAAACCTTTAGATCCGCTGCGCATAGGTTTACGTTTGCTATTGAATTCGTGATTTGTACATAACGAGATCCTTACAGATCCCAACAAAAAATACATTATCAATCAATCTCATTTTTCTACATAGAATGCTAGCGCACTATGTGGACTTGTACTAGGTTATATAATACCATTTTCTAACATTTTAGTAGTTTCTTCTTGAAATTCTTTAACATTTCTTTCTGTATATGGTATTCTATTTGGCACATTTACTTCTTTGTTAGGATCTATTAATTCTATTTTTACTATCATACTATTCGTGTTTTTATTTGGATCTAATGGATTTTGACTACATATTTTTTCTAATAACTGATTAACGTGTTCTTCTAAAGTTATACTTATCACTTTATGAATTTGAAATGAAACATTTCGTAATATCTCCCCCCATATGAAAGAGGACGTATTATATATTTTTGTAGTAATTATTTTACTAGACTGCGTTTCTAGTTGTGGACATCTAAGACTTATACTATTTAGTCTTTGAATAAATGGACTGTATAACTTAAGAAAGTTATTTCCAATTATTAACGGTAAACCTGTATTTTGTTTATAAAGACTTGTTAAAGGAAATCGTTTTTCTTCTATTAATAATACTAAGTCTGTTGCTCTATAATCAATATTTATTGTTTTGTTATTTGCAATTCTAACTATAATAGGTTTATCTAATTTCTTCCAATATTTACTAGGTAATATGGACTCTTTCGCTAGACATATTGTTGCTCCTGTGTCTATATATGCTAGTAGAAGTTTGTTAAATAATTTAACTTTTATAAATGAACTGTTTTTACTCATCTTCTGATTCGGATGATTCTAAATCAATATCTGTTTCTGATTCTAAATCATATATATCAAAGTCTAATAATTCGTCTTCTTCGTATTCTTCTTCTATAGGTTCATAACCTAAAGAAAATATCAATTTTAACTTCTTTTCTTTTTCTGACATGTTTTTAGGGCATTCATTTGCATAGTGTCCTATTTCTTGGCATTTCCAACATCTACAATTCTTTTTTCCTTTAGGACAATATTTAGATTTTTCTAAGTATTTTCCTTGTTTTCTAAACTTTCCTTTATATTTTGGTTTCCATGGTTTTCTAACTGTCTTATATCTTCTTGGTTTATATCGTCTATTAAACTTTATTGTATTTATAATATCTTTTCTTTTTGTATGGGTTATAACAACCAAATTCCTGCGGTACACTTTCTAATTGTTTGCAACATCTTGAATCGATTTTTGTCATTTCATAGTGTTCTAATTTCCTTATACAAAGTTCATCTCTATATTCTTTTGCTATTTTTCTAAAATTCCTAGAGTTTTTTCTTCTTTTGTTTCACTAATTTTCTTCTGAATGTATTTATTCATTTCATTTTTAAGCTTACTTTCAACTATTTCTATTAGTCCTGATCGATCTTTAATTTTATAGAAATTTTCTCTTACTTGACAGAGAAAATTTTCTATGTAGCATATATTACATAACTTCATATTTGTTAGAAATCTAACAGCCTTATCTTTTTGTGTTTCTTTTGATTCTTGTCCTGTAATTTCTAAAAATTCTTTTAATAAATCTTTTGCTAATTCTTTTAAGGCTGATATTTTATATTTTTCTCCCGTTTCTGAACCACTGGCTTCAAGATTTAATAAAATATGAGTATTTTCTAGATAATCAAATAATACTCCAGATGTTTTATATCTTATATAATTAGCAAAATCGGTTAATGTCATTCCATTTATCATCGAGTCATTAGTTTGAACTAATAATTTTAATTGATTAGTCCAAGTAACTATTAAATCTTCTGAATTTGTTGCACAATCTATATTTAATATTCCACTGGATAATTTTTTTTTTTTTTCTAAATATGCTGGTGGTATATTTTTCTTTATTTTTTCTTGATGATAGCTATAATCATTTCTATATATAAAATCTCTAAAACTGCTTTCTACATAATTATTCTGTGAAGTAGATGCTTCATTATTATTTGTTCTAGGTCGCTTTAGTGATAATGGTGGTGTTGTATGAATTTTTTGATCAGTCATATTAAATGTTGGTTCATCTTTATCTTCGCTATCTATTCCGTAAATTATTCCTTGTTTATCTTCATCATCTATTTTTGCCATTTTAGTTTCTTCAATATTGCATTTTTCTAATAATTGTGTTAATCTATCTATATCATCCATTAGAACTTGTTGGCGGTTCTATTTGAATTGGTTTAAATAGTTTTTTCTGTGTTTTTTCTTTCTTCACTAAATCTAGTAATTCTTTAACTGATCTTTTTATTTCGTCTAATTTTTCGAATATTTCTAATTGGATTTTCTTTATTATTTCTGTAAGTGTTCCTATTTGTTCTGAAACTCTTGGTGGATCGCTCATAATATATATAATTATTTTCTTTTATTGGTATTTGAGATTTTTATGTTGACTTTGAGTATAGCAAAATATTGTGTGAATATAATAATTGGAACCTTGCAAAGTCGCTTTTAACCTTGTATAGTTGGAAAGAAAAAGTTGTAAAGATAGTTGTGTCAAAAACATAAATGAGGTTTGTAAATGGAGTCATTTCCCCCGAATTAATTGGGTTTCTTTGGACATATTTCTGAGAGGACACGCAGCCCATTAAGTAAAAATTAGAGGATTTATTTACGCAAAGCCAGAAAAGAAAGACATCACGCACATAATTGAAAGAAACGCGGCCAGACACCTTAGGAGAAAGGGAGAGCCGCCATCATTCACGCATAACAGAGAAGCAGACGCGATGAACCTGATTAATCGCGGAGGGAGGCCGCACCCGTACACGAGGGAGATAATTAATCTCTCTCTTTTATCTATTATTTATTTTTATTTATTATGTTAGGCTAGTTTTTATTTCTAGTTTCGGGGAAGTCGAACCCTACAATTGACTATGTTTTGATTGATTTATATGGTTGAAGATTTTAATATCGTTTTGGAATTGCTTGTGTTATTTTGAATAATTCGCCATGATGTGTTAGTCTTGTTTAGATTGATCACGCCAACTTTTAATTCACCATGATTCAAATTTCGCCATCTTATGAAATTACTAGCCCTATTTAAGATGGCGAGATTTGATTACAAAGTTGATTAGACTAGTCAGTCGAGGGTGTAGACGGAACCGTGAACTAGAAAGTTCTTTTCATTTATTTATTTATTTTACTTTATCTTCTTAGGATTTTATTTAGTTTAGTTATTAAATTTTAAAATCTCCCCCATCTTTTATTGCTTTTTATAATTTCAGTTATTACAAGAAAATTTACAATTTGATTCACACTCCCTGTGGGTTCGACCCTTGCTCACTACTACTACTAGTTGGTAGACGACGTTAAGGAAAATATAAATTATAATTTTACCGCGTTGCAACGCGCGGTCAAGAAATGTAATGAAGTGTACCAAAAAATTAATTCTTTTGGGTCCCGTCACTTATTTTTACAAATTTGATATGTAGCATGATTTTAATCCAATAAAAAATTAAAATGAACTTCATAACCAACTAAGCTTGATTCAAAATCGCTTGGGATTTATACCTTTTATTAATCCATAAAATAAAACTCCATTCCATGACTTCACTAGACACATGAACTCATGAACAAGTACATTATACAAAAACACACACCCATCAAACAAAACAACTAAAAACATCATCAACACAGTTTCAACCCGACCCAAGCAATATATAAAGTCTAAAACCTAGCCGAGCCCAAACCACGCATGTAGGACCCTCGATAAGCCCGGTTAGATAAGCAATTGTTTGTGATGGCCGTCAGTGTAAAGGGCTCCCGATCGGTTGCCAGCCACTGCTCCACCGCGAAACTCTGCTGAGAGCACTGCTTTTGGACTCCAAATGTGGTCACCTCCACATACTCGCAGTACCACGCGTGGTATGGGCCGGACCCATTCGAAGTGAGGTTCAGTCCACAAACAGGCCCCTTTAGGCACGGACCTTTCCCTCCAAACAGGTCCAGGTACCCAGTCTCGAAGTAGTTGTAGCCTGGGCCCATGAGGCCCCAGTCTTCGAGATTGGGAACCATGACTTGGGCTCCGGACGCGTCAAATAGGCTCAGACTTATCCTGGAGTGGGTCCCGGCCTGCCTGATGGAGCCCGTTTGCACGTATACCCCGTATATACACTCGAGCTCAGCAGCCTGAGTACGTGCAATCATTATTTTGCATATCATACCAAATTTAATCATTATATTTACCTCATATTAAATTAAACTTTAAGTCCACTAACAATAGTCCATTAATAATAATCCATATCGAGAATGAAAATTAATAGAGCGGGGCTATCTGTACCTAAATCAAATTTGCAAATTTATCACAATTTTAACATGTACGAATATTAAAAATTAAGGGTTTTAGATGCACAAGTAAAAGATTTATTTTTAGAATTTCTGTAAACTCAAATCTTTTACTTGTGTACATTAGGCTTTTATGGGAGCATATGTTCACGAAATCATAATTTTAAAAATAATATAATTAAAAGTATGGCATTTGATACCACAATTATGCATCTTTCAGATCCGCATGTCTAATAATTAGACCTTGTCACGCAAGAATTTTTGAATTATGTTTGAGCGTGTAATGTAAAATGCTTCAATTCTTGCAGGAAATGGACTAATTTTTACTCTATCAGCTAACATTGTTCTTTGATTTTTTAAAGATGTATAGGAATATAAACTTGGACCACTTAACAAATTCTTACATTC